ATATATGCTTGTGAGTAACCGATTTAATTACCTTCCTCCTGACAATGAGAGAGGTGTCATCATCATCATCAGCATCATCCTCCAAAATGGGAGTTGCTGAGGCTGGCCGTTTCCGGCTTGGGGCACTTTTAGCTACAGTGGGCTTGGCAGGAAGAGAAGTCGATGGACGAGCAGACTGTTTAGCACGAGTAGGGGAAGAGGGACTCCTAATGGACAGAAGAGTGACCAAAACAGGAGAGGTGGAAGAAATGTTTGGCTGGTCCAGTGAATGGAAAGCACGATTGACATCAGTTGCAAACAATCTGCTCTTCACTGACGGCCAGAGTTGTTCAAAAAGATGATGGATGGTACGGTTAGGATTAAAGGGGGCTAATGAAAAGCTGCTCGTCAAAAGAATATTGCGAGCATCTATAGCTTCTACCTCTACCTTATTAATGGTATGGAAGCGGTCTATCAAATTTCTTGAATAGCAAGGGAGAACGGGCCAAGTTTGGCCGAAACCAAGTTAACGAGCAAAGAATTGGGGAGCATATATTTCAACCCCAGCTTTGGCATTGGTCCCAGTCAAAATATCATGGAACAACTCCCTCCCGGTCAAAAACTGAATCCAAACGAATAGAGAGGTGCTTGCACTATCCATAGTGGATGGAGGTTGCACATAATCCGGAGTCAAAAAGGGAGGAAAAGGAAAGAAGGAAGGGATTGAATCCAAAGTATAAAAGAATGAAAAAATGTCCATTCTGGACATATTTACAGGAGTTAGGGGATCAATGGCTAGCCCATAGCAACTAGCAGAAGGACGGGAAAAAGATGGAGCACCAAGCGATGGAAAATAGGCTCTCAACCACATTTGAGTGAACTAAAGAGGCCCACTGCCAATGGGAGATGCACCATTCTTCAATTAGGATTGAAGAGAAGCCATGCCTCTATAGAGGGCAGCTAAAAAGAAAAAACACAAATTCAGAGGCCTACCATGCGCCAATTCGTGCGCTATGGGTAAATAGCTCATGGAGGGCTTTATGTTTGGCACACACAAAACGTATTTACAAAGCCAAATCAGAAGAAAGGCCACACGCTCAGCATGGGAAGGCTCAGCGCTCGAGTGGTTATGACAGGTTTGCAGGCTTGAATAAGACTCAGTGAGTTTTCTTTCAAATTTTGGGGCGATACCAGAAATCAAAATACCAGGGAAAATGGTATCGTCCAAAGGTGGCAGATTTACTAAGGCCCCAACATCCCTTAAGGTAATGGACATGGGGCCAAGAGGGAAAACAAAAGTATTATACTCAGAAGACCAAAAATTTAAAGCGATTGGAAAAAGTACTGAATCAAAAATAGGCGGTCGAAGAGATATTTCTAACAAATCAGAAATCCTAACATTATCAAAAATTGCCTTAGTAGGACCATGGTTCACAAGGCGAGCATGCCACCTACGGAAAACGACATCGGATTTAGACTAAGTGCGAATACCTCTTTCGCGAAGTGGCTCCAGCGGCAAAGAGTTTAGAAACGGAGGGCTTTGAGTACAAGGGAATAGCTGACCGACCGCCGCTTGTTCGATGGCCTCGATGTTGTTGAATGAATGACCTAGATAGAACTCTTTGAGTTCGACATTGGCTGGTGCAAGGAAGTTCGGAGTTATATATGGCCGAGTGAGGAGTTTTTGGAAGTCTTCGAAGTTGAAGGAGTCACCAGACTGGGATTGTGAAGCGGCCATTAGGAAAGAAATAGAGTTTTTCAGAGTTACGTAGTAGAGAAGCAAGGAGATGAACAGTAATATTGAGAGAGAGAAGCGCGAAAAAATGAGGCGTGATTTAGTGGTGCAATGAAATGGTGTATTTAGGGGTTATAAGGGTTTGCAAACGTATCACCTTTTCAAGCTATAGAAGAAAACAATGATTGAAATTTTTGGAAATTTCGAATGTTGTTGGGAAACACAAAGTGAATATGGCAAAAATTAATAATTGGTGTTAATTCTGCCATATTGGGGGGTAATTGTTGACACACAAAAAGTTCAACCCAAGTCGAATAACCTAAGGAATGAAGCTCAATTGGAAGATCCCCAAAATCAAATAGCCCAAAGAACGACCCAATCAGGCAATGCAGGATAAAGGCCCAAATAGGGAAGCCCATGAACGCGGTAATACCATCTCCCAAGGTTACAAGTCGCCCAAGATTTAAGCGAATGGATTACCATGCAGTCGCCCAGAACTGTGCCCATGTTCTCGCCCAAACCTTCGAGTCGCCCAGGATCTTAGCAAACGTAAGATGTTATGGTTACCCAAATGTGCGGTTAATGAAGCGGTTATTGAGTAGCCCTATCACGTTCCACGATTCCAGAAATTCAATTAAAGACGGTTGAACGACAAAAAGTAATGGCAGCAGTTAGAGAAAGCAGTTCCATGACAAGTTGGCCACTACGAGGAAAGTGGGCAGTTATAGAGCGATCAAGCAGTTTTTAAGCGGTTGATCACGAAGAGATCATCCAGGGAGTATAAAAGGAAGAAAAGACATAGAGCAAAGGACCCCGAATCAAACACTCTCAAACAGAGAATACGTAACTTTAAATTTCTTAATTTAGATTTAAACACTTCTTTTCAGTAACTCGTGTGCTTGCGCCCCTTGGAGGCATTCTGTTTTTATTTTCTAATTGTAAAGTCATCGCCAATAAAAACACCCCTTTTTGGGACTTTGTCTCAAGAGGTTTGTCCCTTACACAATCATCTGATCCCTTTTTAATTGTTAGCGACTAACCCGCGCGAAACACTAGTATTTTGCTATACATGAATATCATTGTTTTCAATTATGTTGTCCAAGTGTATTTAAAATCCTTGGAATGTGGGGTTATTAAAAATTTCGGATATATGTGTGTTATTCATGATTGTTCATAATCATAATGAAATTGACATTTTTAGATATTTGAAGATCTACATGTGAATACAAGAGCTGAATGAATGCATCTATTCAAATGTGTTATTAGAAATTAATTTATAACTTTCATATGTTTATCTTATTATAGTTAAACATGTGACGTTAATATTTTTAGAAAGGTTCTTCGGTGGCTTTGCAGGTGTGCAAGCGGATAACAGAAGTTATTCAATTGTATAAAATTGTTGTCCAAAGGGGACATGAAATAAATTATAGTCCGTAATGGACATACATAAATCATTAAGGGGAATGAGTTTTAGTCCATAAGGGAGTCATTTTTGGGAGTAATCCAACTTTTGTGGTTGGAAATCCCATGAAGAAGGTTTAATGTGGTGGAAACAATCCGTACTGCGTGATTTGTACTAACACTACGTATATTATGCTCATCCCTATAGTGATAATGGTAATAATAATGTGATGTTAGGAAGTGTTTAATCTTGAATGAGTACCGAGATGACAATTCTTACAAGGTGTGGGTCACACTAACTCTTGGAAGATTTATCTGTGTAAGAGTTGTCATGAGGCCGTGGCTCTGGGATTGGACTATTCCCTAAAGACTCTTACTAGAATCAAGATAAGAGTGCATGGCTATTAACAGCACTACTCACTACGAACTAGAGCCTAAATCGATACTGTGTGTGGTACAATTGAAATTTGGCCATAAGGACCTAATTTAAGGCTTAGTCTGTTAGGGCTCCCTCAAATGGGAATTGTTATCACTAAGTAAGGTTTAAATCTAAAAGATACCTACACTTATTACATAGTATAACGTTGCCACTATGTACTATATATATTTATTTATTTTAAAAGTTAAAAACTTGTGGGGAATTGTTGTAACATAAATGATAATAAGTTTTAATTTTCAAAATTAAAGGTAATTTTAAATTTTTATTTTAAGTTACATTTTTAATACAAAATTAAAACTCATGATTAATGGATTATAAATTATACATAAATTGAATTTATTTTCATGAATGCGAGGGTTTATATTTTTATCCCTATAAAAGGAGTGGTGATACAACATGTTTAAAAAAATACAGTTTGAGATGCAACTAGAAAATAAAATACTCTTTATATTTTTTATTATATTTCTATAGTTTTAACAATTCGATAAAGGTTTGTTCATCTATCTCCTTATGGTCGTGCCATATAAGAAGAACCGACTGTGAACCACATAAATTTTATCTCGGAGTCGTGTAATGTAGAAAGTACCTGCACGAAGGGAGGCAACACGACTTTAAGACAGCATCTTCAACGTGATTCTCAAGACTTGCTTTCTAAATCTCTTCTCTATTTTATGTTATATTATTTTTGAATTATGTTTATGTTATTTAGTTGATTATGTTAATAATAATTTATCTACACATAAATCATCTAATTTTTCCAACAAATCTCAGCTTTAACTTTTCGAATATCCATTATCCATTATGCACATCGAGTCGATCTTCAAACGGCAATTCATTTATAGTGCTCGTTGATCAAACTTCAATTTTAATAATAAATTTTATTGTATTCACAACTTTTCAACCATATATTTTGTTAACTCTATTAACATTTACTAAAACTTCTGTCAATAGCTTAGTCCAAAGAACCCCTTAGTCTTCATTGAATTATGAACTATGAAGTGATGATAATACTTGACGAAAAAGGAAGACATGTCAATGCTCATATAAATTGACATACATACCTTCACTCGAGTCACATTTCATATTAATTAGTCTCTATATTTGCTTTTGACATTCGAATAATGCTACTTGTAAATAAGAAGTTACATAATGATTTATATACAGATGAGATGTTAGAAAAAGAGTGTAATTTTTTTTTTTAAAGAAATTCTATATCAATCATACCTCACCACATCATATATATATATATATAAATCATTATGTAAATGTAGCACAATCGTTGTCATTTTCATATTAATTATAATTATCTTTATATAAAGACAACTAACCACCGGTTGTCCAATTCAATCTCGATAATATCTAATAGATAATGAAGTAGATCTTCCAATATTAATAGTTTACATGATGGATCAAATATATCATTGGCATTCGATGTTAGACTTTGAACAACAATAATACATTGCTATTAATTATATATAATTTATAATAAACGCGCGTAAATCGTGTTCTAAATTAATTTCACCCTCAGTCTCCCTATAGAATATTCAATACCTAATCCCTTATTGAGCTTCTTCAGCATAGTCAATAATCCATCAATGGCATCTTCTTGCAGCTGTCCAGGCCTTCTTCAACCCAATTTCTCTGAAGGATTTCAGCCTTTAGGCTCCCATCGATTACATTATCATCCAACAATATCGAATCTGAAAAATGGGGGCTCGTTTTTAGGCGATCAGAGTTTGAAATATATTCAATCTTTACGAACAAACAATGGATCAAAGAGGTATGCAATAGAGTTTTAACTTGGTTATTACGTTATATAATTTGATTGCAAATTGAGATTTGTAGTTTTTTGCAGGAGGGAGTTAGTTGTTGAAGCCACTCCAGATCCAGAAGTAGGGAATCATCTTCTTTCTTTTTGGCCCACTGATAATCCATGGTGAGTACGAAATTTTTACCACTGATTAATCTTCTTGTATTTAGAAATTGATCTGATCTTATAAATATTGCGATAGGTTCGCCGGGGTTGCGGGATTTATGGTAACAGTTCCTTTTTTGGCCCAACGGTTATTAACGTTGACGAGTAAGAATCAACGAACAACAATTTCTATATCAGTCGAGTTTAATATGTAATTTGTTGATTAGTTGCCGTAATTGTGTACAGAGGAGGTGGATCTGGCGGCTCAGACGGTGGAGAAAATAGCCGATGCCGTAGAGAAGGTGGCGGAGGAAGTCGATAAAGCTGCAGAAAATATAGCAGAGTCACTCCCTGAAGGTGCCCTAAAAAATGTTGTTAATTTAGTTGAAGATCTGGCTGAAGAAACAGCAAAGGATGCTCAAAAAGTTGAAGATTTGATGGACAAGGTTGGTTCCTTGGTATTAGCTTAATTTATTATTTAACTACCTACTTTTTTTCTGGGTATTAATTATTAAAGTTAAAATCCTTTGGACTTCAAAAAAAAGTTGGTGGCGGGATGACATTCAATAATTAATTGCAATGCATGTGAAACAGTATTGATATTCCCACTTTGATATCATCTATGAGGCCTGCTACAAAATTCGGAATTAAATCCTGGATTTAAATCCAGGGTCCTTCATCTTGAATTTCATGGGGTCCGCAGCATAACAATCAAGGGTCGAGGTGTTGCCAGCACCTTGGCCTGTCGACAGGGCCTATCATTGGCCTTGTTTCAATGGCAAAACCCATCATCTATTATGTAATAAAAAATCAAACTTGCTGTTCATGCCAACGATGACATTGTAGAAGAGATTTTTGAAGAAGATACTTTACCAACTTCTAAAAGCTTTCTAGTCCAATAAAGAATTTTAAGAAAATAATCCTAATATATTTGAAAGCAACTTCTCAGTTTCAAAAGTAATTTTTGACTTCTCAAAAGTTATGTCAAGCGAGCCATGAGATTCATCGTTTGCACAATACTTTTGATGCGCTAACATTAGTTTTGACTAGCAAATGAAAAATTATCATGTCAAAGGTAATATCATTTATAATATATAATATTGACGTTTTTCCATATGCTAACAAGTGCGGACTTGTTAAAATTTTTGCGAGAAGTAAATTTAAGATTTTTTTTTTTATTTTTAAAAGCTGCCATTAATTATTATTATTATTATTATTATTATTATTATTATTATTATTGTTATTATTATTATTATTATTTCTTATTTGTGATTGAATTTTCAGATTGAAGAAATTGATGACAAAGTGGAGGCATACTTTAGCAATCAATCTAAAGACAACCCAAGTGTCTAAAGATGGTGTAGTTGAAGATGGATTGCTTTTCTAAATATGTCAATTCAAGTTGGTATCCTTTTTTTCTCTCCTTTTTAGTGTTCAAAACTTTTAATGTTAGTGTGTACTCTTATGTACTTACCACTTTAATTTGAGAATTTTTGTTAATTTAATTCCTCGACGTTGTCCCAAACAATATTCATTTACACTTAGACTATGGGGAATGGATCGTTGTGTAAAAATTTGAATAATTTTCGACATCATTCAAGGCTACAAATGATGTCATAATAATAGCAAAGTTACACGTGACATTCATATACACATGCATCTATGTACTAGTGTTCTAAAAAGGGCGTCTAAACAATCAACTAGACGTTGCCTAGGCACGAAACTTGACCATGCAGCCCATCAAAACTTTATTTTATATATATACATATATAATTCTTGGATTTGAAATTTTTGAAGACAGTATATAGTAAATAAATTATGATATATAATACACATGAATTATTGAATAGCCAATGTAACAATACTTATTCCGATACGACTAATTTTTCAAAAAACCACTATAACTCAGAGCTTTATTGAACTAACATCAACACAGAAACATACAGAAAGTATACAACATTTAAATCTCTTTTTCTCCAATTTCAAGCCAAGACTGCAAAATGTAACGAACCAGACGTGGGAATTCAAGCTTGTTTTCTACCTTCCAGACATGAGATTTACGAGACCCTGGTTTCCATAGAAAGATGCGACATCCCAGTCTTCTGTCGTAGATGAAAGAGTCATCAATGCAACCACGATAGATCTCATACTTGGTCGTAGTTGAGGATTTTCATGCGTACAAGCTCTGGCAAGTTGGGCCATCTAAAAGCAAATAGACCAATGTTTTATACTCCATACAAAAAATAAAAACTACAAAAAATAACAGTGGTTTAGATATCTTTTGCACCTTACGGGCTGAGTCGAGGGAGTAATTATCTCCTAGTCTAGGGTCAACGAGTTTGCGGAGATCATCACTCGGATCTGGCTGATTAAGAACTTCTTCAAACTGTAATCACCAAGGATTAGTCCACGAAAGGAAAACACAACACAATTATATCTTTGGTATCTAAATAACCGAACAAGCAGAAATTTTGAAACACTTTCTTGTATTCAAGACAAGAAATTGTACAACTTACCAAGGCAACAAGACCCTTTGAATCAGCAAGGGAACTGTTTGCCTTAACTATGGCCTCCTTGGCTGAGATTAATTCATACATGACGACACCAAAAGCATAGACATCTATCTTAGGAGAAACGTCACCATATTGAGCATACCTGCATGCACACAGAATCATGCCAATCCCTTTGAGCATATCAATCAGCAAATATAAATTTTTTTATCCGGATAAATACATCTGGCACTATCAATCGGTTTATTCTTATTTAGTCTGTGGGGCTAAATTGGTCAAACTGAGGAAAAAGTTCGCCTTACAGAGGTAGAGCAAATTTTTCAAAATTATTTTCATATAATCAATTGATCTCTGCTAGTTTCAAAACATAAGCAACTACACCACTGTAATTTCTAAAGTCCCTTATAATTGCCCTTTCATCTGGAGGTAATTCGATGATTTTTGGCACCCCGTGAGTCATTTGCCTTCTGAAAACAGAGGGAGTAATCAAATAGTTTGGAAAACATTGGACAAGTTTTGGTTAAAGAAAAAAAATTAATTAGAGAGTGCGTTAACATCTCAAAAGCATTTAAGTATTCAAGTCATAAATGATACATCTATCAACAGGTAAAATAAGATGAAAATTGTTTAACTTTGCAAATCCAAAGAACCGGATGAGATTTCCTTATCAGCTACCAGAATTTGTAATATATAAACAACACATGATATGTGCTAAAGGACTTACTCTGGCGGCATGTACCCAAATGTACCTACAAGACGTCCCGTTGGCAAAGAATTACTTCCAACTTCAGTGAGTTTTGCTAAACCAAAGTCCGCAACCTGCAGTCCAAATGATCTATTATTTGTGGTTATGAAAAATACTTTACATGTTCAAATATCAAACCTGAGGCCACTTTACTACCTTCGCATGGAAGTTCTTGTCTATCAAAATATTTGCCGGTTTGATATCACGGTGGATGTACACTGGAACGGTGTGTTCATGAATATATTCTAGGCCTCTTGCTGAATCAAGAGCAATTTGCACCCTAGTTGGCCATGGCAGTGGATCCCTGTCTGGAAAGATAGATGATGTAACATAATTTATGAATGCACAATTATTGCATCAACTATATATTTTATAAGTCAGTGCACCTGAGCCACGCAGATGTTGGCTTAAGTTCCCATTCTCAATGAATTCGTATACAAGGAAGAGAGAGCCCTCAACACAATATCCAATCAAGCGCACCTACAACCAGAATGGACAATAAAATCAACAATGCCAATAAAATAAACCATAACTGTTGCTTGAAATGAAACGTCCAGGTTAAAAATGACACAAGTTGTACTATAACAGCAGAACTCATATACGAAAATAGCTATTGCTTAAAATTTGAATGCAGCAGCAAACCAAGAGAGACCTTGGCAAGATTCAACTGTTAATTCTAATTATCTATCTCCTACTGCGACATAGAATGAAATGGCCATTTTGAAATTCAAACTGTTTATGCCAAAAAAAATTAAAAAAATAAATCAGATTTCAACATCATCATCATCATCAGATTTCAAGTTAGGTCAAATGAATAAAACCTACAATGCTACAAACCCCCCAAAAAAAATATATATATATATGCAAGTTATGGACTTTTCTTCATAACTCACAAATGTTAGCATAACAACGCATATCATGGAAGAACTGTATCAAGAATATCATGGATTCCCCACTTTAAAAAGTAAAACATTCTCAACTGGATCCGGAGAATCAGCAGACAGCAATTGTATAAAGTGTACAAGAAAACATTTCCCAAATGAATGGAATGAAGGTCAGGACTCACGCCTATCTCAAGTTCCAATAGAAGTCCACACACAGTGTATTTTACTGTATCATGAGGAATAATACGATTTTAGCATCACGCAATGTGTAAATTTGTGTGCATGTACGTCTATAAAACATACTAATCATTAAGGCCAATATGTAGTTCACCAAAGGCGAGGCAATAATTTGAAAAAAGAAAAGAAAAATGAGAAGAAAAGAGCACGATCATATCATTGCTTTGGACCATGAGTTTACGTCGATGGAATACCCAGAATTGGGACGTCTCATGTCATGCAAAGAGGCCTACCTGTTATGTGAAGTTTAACAAGGAAAGAGAAACCAAAAATGAAGAACATTCATGCAAGAGAAAGGGCTGCCAGTGTACGAGGAAAGGGAAAAAACAACAAAAAGAGGACAAGAACACTTCGAAGTGCATTACAAGTAATTATAAGCATGAACTTTTAATGCCATCTAGCATGCAGGAAATCAATAAAAATCATGGAAACAGCATACATACATAAAGAAAAGTCTGCAGTAGAAAAAGAGGATAATTGGTACCAGGTTAAGGTGGTGAACATGCGTCAAAACCTTCAGCTCAGCAAGAAATTCCCTTGTCGCTTGCATATCCATTTTCTTAATTGCAGCTTTCTGCAAAGAAATTTGTTACAAGAAAAATTGATATCAATATTAGAATATGCATGACATTGGTAATTCACCAATTCCAAATTGTTGAGGGTAACAATATGAATGCATTTGTCAAGAGTATTGAGTGTAATTTCTTCTTTTGCTTCAATGTGGTATACAAAACACCAGAACTGGGACCTAGATTGTAAAAGTTGAAAGTACCATAAATAACTGCTATAAATAACTGCTAATCATTTGAAAAGTAGTGCTTCTCATTATATAAAATTTTATGGATAACCGCTAAAACATAGGAAGCATTTGAATTCTACTTGGAGAAATTTGATATATTCTCAATTAACGAATTCAGAACAAAGAAGCTCACATTGACCCTTAAGAGTAGGTAAGGATCATTTCAGTTTTTGATCAGTGATACAAGAGATGAGAGAATCAAGCATACCAATCTGAAAGACTAACCCTACCCACAATGATGTACCAGATATTAAAATTTGTTGAGAACTGTAATATTGAATTTTGTAATTCTTCTGAAACCAAAATTTAGTAGCAAAAAGTTGCTGCATATTCATCTGTTTAGATCCCCTATGGCCTTTAGTCATTGACCCTTGCTAGAGTTAGATGTAAAGACTCAATGAAGAATGGTGACTTAAGGAAGAAATTATATGAAGCAACTCCCAATTCATCCCTAAAACTTATCCCCAAGGGCATGCTTGGGAAATTTTTTTTACTGGTTCTGAATAATTTTGTATGGCACCTTTTATAAGAGGTTAGAAAAATGGGTACTTGCTAGTTTTTTTGGACACCAATTTTAGACTATTTAAAAATCATCTAAAACCTGTGTAGTGTAACTTTGATTGTTTCTCTCAACCATCAATTTGGGGAGTTTCAAACTTTTCTCATATTGTTTTCTAAATTTACCTTTTATAAAATAATTATTTCCACCAACATAGTTTGTTCAAACATAACTTGTAATAAAAATGCATTAACTAAAAAAAAATATTTATAAGCAAAATTTTACTTTATTATTAAAAAATTATGTAAACGTACAAAAATTAAATATTATAAAAATCACTTTTGTGTAAAAATTTGTTTATAAAGTAAAAATGCTAGTAATAAGACAAAAACCCACTTATAAAATATAAAAAGTAAAATTTTCAATACAGAATTAACTTTTAATTGTAATATTTACTTATAACTAAAAATTATTAACTTAAATTTTAATTATTTAATTTTTTTAATAAATATTGCATGAGAGGAGAGATCTTAGAGGTCAGTTACCTTAACTTATATGTAAGAAATTACTTACAAATAAAATATTACTTATGAATAAAAAAGTTTCATAAAGAAATTATAAATTGAAAATTTCACTTAGGGACATTCACGTAATTTTATTCTTTTAAAAAACTTTCAAAATCGATGCATAAAAACTCCAAGCACGGGCTAGAGTGTTTTAAAAATCGCTACTAAAATTACTCAAAATCGATCCGTTAAAAAAGGCTCAAAACCGGTAATTTAAAAAATGCCTGTAACTGGTACCCAAAACTCCCAAGCAGGCCCTAGGACTCGTGGATTTATCTCTGTTTAGACCCCTTATGGCCTATCCTCATTGACACTTATTACATTTAGATGTAATCTTGAAGGTTCACTTTCAGGAAGAAATTATGCCTCAGTTTGCGTCTCATTTTATTTTTGCTAAAATTCTACTTTTTAAGAAATGAGTGGTTGACAAGACGGTAGTACTTGAAAGTTCTATGAAATATGCAGTTAAAATTAACGTTAAACTTTGAAAAGTAGAATTTGAGAAGAAGAAAATGAAATCCAAACTGAGGCTATATGAAGCAACCCCCAATTCGTCCCTAAAACTTATCCATAAGACTCATGGATTTATCTCAAAGATAAAATGCTTGACTTCAAGTAAAGTTAGTAAGCTAAATCTTAACCTGAAACCGCACCAATTGCCAGACTAGAACAGGAGGAAGGTAAATTCTTGAAAAATCCTGAAAAGTCTAGGCGGATAGTAGGGAATCTTGACCATCTGACAGTGACTAGACCATGGGAATGTTGTTGTACATTTGAAATAGCTCAAAAGGAACCGTGGGCAAGGACTTCTGTATAAGCATTTTAGTCATCTCAAAATTCAAGGTCACAAAGACACCAGTCAGGTGCAGTCTTCATCTAATAGAAAAATCCAGAAATGGGAGCATTCATCAGCAGTAATGTGGTGGAAAGGAAGAACGTAGACCGTGGCTCACAACCCGAGTTAAGTTGGTTAGATTACATGTTTCACACGTTGATAAAAGCAATTAGAATGGGCTTTCAATACTAGTCAATGTGTGTATATATGTCTGCAAGATAAATGAATTGATAGAGAAGCGATCAACCAGCTGAACACCTTCGGAGGCATGGAAGTGCATTTATGTCTCCTGGTCCAGTGTATCCAAGCACATGAACAACCCCAGGAGTTCAACAGTTTATTCCTTCCTATAATATTAGAACCATTTCCATTTTCCACTAGATTATATTGAAATACCATCTAACTTTAGGATCGATTTCCCAAGCACAGTAATGAGAAGCAGAATTAGCTATTAACTCTGTAAGAATATAAATAATTATACTCCCTAAATAACGTCAATCATGAGCGTCCGAGCAAGAACTTCCTTGAATAGGAATCCTAAATTGCAAAAAAAAATCCTTCTGGAGTATTAAACATATAGGAGATACAAATAACTGGTGAGGGAAGATGAAATAAGATTGGCAGTACTTTTCCTAAGCAAAATGGACAAATATTCCTTCAAGTTCTCATAATTACTTCCAGTTGCTAGTAGAATATAAAGACACACAAACACTTCTATATTTTCAATTAAACTGGATAACCATCGCCATTCAGCAACATAATAAATCCTTCGACAAGACCACGTATGGACATGGAATGAGGCACATAATAAACAGATAATTCGTTTTATTCCAATAAAAACTGAAAGTACAATACCAACTTTATTGTCATGAGAAATTTTAGCTAGCATTGTCATTTTTTAACATGAAATATAACAATTTTATATACTACTTACCTCACCTCTGAGCTCAGCATAGTAAACAGCGCCAAAACCACCTTCACCAATCTTATTAGCAATGCTGAAGTCATCAGTCGCCTTCGCAAGCTCTTCATATGAGAACTCAACAGACTTGTCAACACTAATGCCAGTAAGGCCTGGAGAAGTGCCATCACGAGCAGCAGTAGAATCTGTAGCTTTCATGAAGAGACATAAATCGATTAAGTACTGAATAAACACTGAATTGTTAGTGTTTCTTTTAAGTAAAATGCAGAAAATAAGTTATAAACTCGCAAATGTTTTCTACTTTCTTCCAATGCAGATAAAATAGTGTCAGGCTTTCTTTGTATTGTCAGGATACAAAACCAAAAATACTAACAAAGAGAATCCTAAATCAACTGATTCTGAGGGGCTCCATTTCCAATTCTTCTTTTTGGTATAGGGAAGCCTTCTCCTGTAGCCATGATATGATATTGTGGATCACGGCCAATGATTGTCAATTTTAAGAAAGACCAACCGAAACGAACAAAATCTCCAAAAGTAATTGCTCAAAACAGGAAAAGATCCCATGAAACTAGTTAAGTAGGACATAACACTATTGCAGCAGAGAGACTCGTTTATTGTACACCAACCCCTTTGAAATGTAAGCTTATCCCAGGACAGTTGCGCAGATGGCAGATGAAGCAAATTACGGTCCTTCAGTCCTTAAGGTTTGCCTAACTCCATTGCCCGCCTGGTATGACTTAAAATGATATGAGCAGGTGACAAAGTCAAAAGGGTAGACTTAAAGTGACAGAGTGTCAAAAATGAAAGATTTCCTATGTTGTGCCAGAAATCCCAAAATGGTTTCCTTTGAAAACTCCTCCAGAAAGTATAATGGATGGATCCATATTTTTCCAAAAACAACTATTAAGATTCATTTACATAACTTTTTACCCTGACATTTAATCTACGGGCAAGCTATATTATTAATTCCAGGTCTATCTGATCAGAACAAGCAATTATCAGCCTTTCCACTTGAGCTTTCGGTTCCATTATGTGCATTCAAAAGTGTCCAACCCGGTTTATCTTGTGTGTGGATTACAGTGTTTTATTACCGGATAGCGATCTTGTACTAACCAGGGGTTTGGTAAAGTACTTAAAATCATAATACACCCCGTATTACATGGGATCTATCACCTTGATCAGAAAAGGAGACTGTTCAATAATATGTAAGATTATATACAACCCTCCAATATCCATATTGAGGTGAAAAGGAAATGTTGAAACATCAATATAAGCGTGATATCTAGCGGAGCACAATGGTGGAGGAGAAAAGAAGAGGGATAAAAGAAGTACCATGACCAGCTTGCTGAGAGTGATCAGCAGATGTTGAGAGCAATCCGATCTTTTCTACCTTTTTCCTGTGAAATCCAACATAAAAACAACCTGCACATAACAGTAACCCAGCTACTCCAGCAACAGATATCCCAGCTATAGCTCCACTTGATAATCCTAATTACAAGGAAGATAATGTAAGCATAAGAATGGAGATTTCCATTGTCAGATAGATCCTGTTCATAAGCGGAAAAGTATGGAGGATGACATTGAAATCAGCAAGAGAAGTCCAAGTCACCTGTGCTGCAAAAAGAAGAAAATTTATTGAAACTTAGAAATTTAAGAGATTCAATAATGAAATATAAATTCGCTTAATTAAGTTATCAAATCAAGTACGTATGTGCGTACATACACGCGCCTGTGTATGTAAGAGATACCTTGTTCTTAGAGGGCGATAGCTTCCGTTTTGATCTGCATATATATTAGAGAAAATAGTTAGGGCAACACAAAGCGGTAATGCAGATGATAGTTACCCTTGATATTGTCAACATTCTTTAAGCCTATTTGCAAATTGTTAATAAATACTCGAGCCACTTTTTATTCACACATTTCAAGGGATCCATGAGTACTGCCCACTTATCTACCTCATTTCTATCTATTTATAATTTAAACCGTTTATACACACTTCCCAATCATACTCTGAGGTTGCCGCCTACTAAGACATAAGGAAAATCATTAAACCACTTATCACTGAATCATTACTGGAAAACAATAAAAAATATGACATTACAATATGTCATTTCTCTGCTACTTCATGGACATTCACTGGCATCAATGCTAGATGTCAATGTAGCGAACTATAAGTGAGCAAAATACATTAATATTTCGAGCAACGTTGATACCTCCATCTGTTCATGTGAATGTGCTCCCAAGTACACAAGCATAGATGTTCATTCACACGGAACACCCCACAAAGCCCCATTACAAAAATAACACAATATGCATACAAATACACATATATGGAGAGAGAGAGAGGGCAAACATAACTATATTAGTTCAACATAAATAGGCAATCAGAACTATATCAGTTCAACATAAATAATTTTAATAAGACAAAGAATTATGACATCATCTGCATATACATGTACATTCTTAAGACTCCATAAACACAACATTGCTACCCCCACAAGTTATGTACTACCGGGAAATTAGACTTTGATAAAAGCAAAAGATAATCCTTTTAGCTCAAGAATCGAGTCATATCCTTGTCCAAGCTTTAAATTATCCAGATCTAAGGTACATAAGAAATAGTTGAGACATATCCAAAGCAGGGTCAATAAATATATGTTAGTCTTTCGTGCAAACTCGAATGGAACTATTAGTTTAAACCACTCCGCACAATGTCATCAGCGATACTATGAATATTATTAGTTTCTTTTACTTCATTTAATACCTAGAGTTGTGAATTTCTATTTTATTGGCATCTTATCTTTTCCTAAGTTCAATTTGTCACACAAATAAATGTCAAAAAAAATTGATGACAAAAGCAAAAATTATTTTTAGTCGTAAGATTAGAAAATATACGCATGATGCGCATTAACTCTAAATCCTACTATTCCAACATAATATGAAAAGTTACCACACCAGTGTCGAGAGCTTCAAAGACACGTTAGCACAGGACCGGCATTAGCCCAAGCAACCAAGGCAGTGCCTTGGGCCTCGATTTTAAGGGGGCCTCTTAACAAAAGTGGCCCAAAACCCATATCTATACAAAATCCTCAAAATCCCTTAAAAAACAAAGGAGCAGATGAACGGCCTTCAAAACGTGAGACTGAGAGAGAACTCAGAGAAGCTAAATTTGAAAATACAATCTTCACTACCAATTGGTCATTTGACAATCCCTGAAAACTACCAGCAAAAGCTCCAGATTTGGATAGTGATTCCGATAATGAAGGCTCGGCTCCATGTAGGAGAAAGAGATCGGATAGAATGATCAAAAGGTACAACACTTCATCTTTTTTTTTTTTTAAGTACTATTGCTACTAATTTGTCATCCTGCATTTTTGAGATTGATCAGCAAGAACAAGAAGAGATGCCATTAGTTTAATTATGCTTTCAAGGGATGTTTAGAATTGCCGAATGGGAGTATCATGAATTCTATTCTTGAGAAAAAGAATCTTGATAAATGATAACGAGTCCGAAGTTAACTCGCCCAAGAAATTGATATGGTATAAGGTCCCCAACAGGAAAACATGAAATAATAATAAAACATGAGAAATGTTGGGCCTGTTTGGGCCATTTTTTTGCCATTATTCTTAATTGAGCTAACTGTAAAGGAACTGGGAACCCATGGTAGATGGCATGTTACATCCATATGTACAAGTCATTACGGTTCATATGAATTTTAGAATTTGAATCGTAGAATCTCATCCTCAATTCTCTCAACTTTCATTGGGTTAAATGCATAGCAAGTTATTCAATTTTTAGCAAAGTTTACATATGAAAAATTGATATTTAATTTTGTACTATCAAGTTATTAGCTTTTTTACCCTTTTAGTTATTAGCTCAACAGAGGCTCTTTTCTTATCCTCTGTAACTACATTTTTGCAGGTCATTTGTTATTGCTGAATCCTTTCTTTTTGGATAAGTTTGAGAATTTTCAATTCAAAATTATCGATCAGGTTTTACTGCTCTTTGCTTATAATTATGTCTACAAAAAATATTTGAATCTGGATGTGCTAAAAGAAAAAAGAAGGAAAAGATTGAAAAGTTGATTAAATCTCAAAAGGGAGCACTTGATAAGTTTTTAAGTAGTAGTAGATGAGTACATAACGAAGACGTAGTTATTGAAGAAGTGTTTAATGAGAATGATAATAGAAATAATACAATTGAGGAAGAACATTGTTTGATGAATGACGCGGTATCTACTGATAGAGATAATGAACAATTTTCCCTTCACCTTTTCGATCCAGTAAATTAGGGAAATATGAATACGAATTTAAGAGATTTAATTGTAATGAAATGTCCTGTAAGAGAAAATGATATAATTTTTTCGAAAGATATAGCAAATCGACACTTCTCATCTACATATTACGTTCGACGATTACTTAATGGAGAGAAGCATGATAGAAAATGGTTGATATACTCAAAAAGTTTGGATAAAGTATTTTGCTTTTGTTGTAAGCTATTCAAGAATGATGGGATCGGAACTCAATTGGCACATGATGGAGTAAATAATTGGAAAAATGTTGGTGAAAAACTTCATATGCATGAAATTAGTTGTGACCACATTAATAACATGAGTAAATGGATAAAAATGGAATTAAGATTTGAAAAGAGTAAAACGATTGATAATAGTGTACAATAACAAATCAATAGAGGTAGAGAACATTGGAGACAAGTATTATTGAGAATAATATCTGTGGTGAAAACTCTTGCTAAAAATAATTTAGCATTTCGTGGAGATAATGAGAAGATATACCAAGAAAATAATGGTATTTTCTTAAGTACAATTCAAATTATTGTTGAGTTTGATCCCGTAATGCAAGAGCATGTTCGTCGAATAAAAAATAAAGAGACTCATTATCATTATCTATGACACAAATTCAAAATGAGTTGATACTTATGCTAGCAGGTAAGATTAAAAAAATAATCATTAAGAAACTCAAAAATTCTAAATACTTTTCTGTTATACTTGATTGCACTCCGGACACGAGTCATGAAGAACAAATGTCTATAATATTGAGGTGTGTAGATATTTCGACTGGTCCAGTGAAGGTTGAAGAATTCTTTTTAGGGTTTTTATTGGTGGATGATATATCTGGTAACGGACTTTTTAATGAATTGGTGGATGCTTTGAGTAATCTGAAACTTGACATTGATGATATGAGGGACAAGGCTATGATAATGGTGCTAACATGAAAGGAAAACATAAAGGAGTTCAAAATAGACTATTACAACTAAATCTTAGAGCATTCTACAGTCCTTGTGGGAGTCATAGTCTTAATCTTGCAATTTGTGATATGGCTACTTGTTGTTCGAAAGTTAAATATTTCTTTGGAGTGGTGCAACGTATATACACTTTATTTTCGTCATCTACTAAACGGTGGAAAGTTTTCAAAGAGAATGTAAATGGTCTTACCCTTAAGCCCTTGTTTCAAACCGTTGGGAAAGCCATATTAAAAGTGTTAAAGTGATAAGATTTCAAGCTCCGCACATAAAAAAGCTTTACTTCAATTGGCAAGTGTTGATGATCCTAAGACGAAAAGTGAGGCGAAGTGTTTGGCAACATATGAAATTGACAATTTTGAATTCTTACTTGGGATGATTATTTGGTATGAAGTGCAGATAATGTTAATAGAGTAAGCAAACAATCTTTTAAGATAAATTATTTCATATATATAGTGGATCAAACTCTATCATCACTTCAGAATAGATTGGAGCAATTTTAGAAATATGATGATATTTTTGAATTTTTATTTGATTTGAAAAGACTTAAATCTATTGATGATGATATTTTGAAGTGTTCTTACATTAACCTTGAAAATTACTTGAAGCATAATATGATTTCTTATATCGATGGGGTAGAATTATTTTCTGAGTTGAAAGTTTTAAGGGAAGTGATACCTACAAACATTTTTGGAGCAATTGATGTATTGGATTACATTAAGAAAATGGACTGTTATTTTGCAAATACCTAGATTGCTTATAGAGTATTATTGACTATTTCAGTCACTATTGTCTCTGCTGAAAGAAGTTTTTCAAAGTTGAAGTTGATTAAATCTTATCTTAGATCAACTATGTCACAAGAGTGATTGAATGGATTAGCTATGTTTTCTATTGAAAAAATATATGGGAAAAACTTGATTTTAGTGGTTTGATTACTAATTTCACATCTCAAAATGTGAGAAGGTTAAATTTTATGTTAGCCTAATCTCTCGAATTGTGAGAGAAGTTTTATTTTGTTACTCTATTTTTTGAATTGTATAAAGTCTTCTTTTGAATGTAAAGGTGTTAATTATTTAAAAATTATTACACTTGTAAAATAAAATATTATGTTGAAAGGTCTCATAATAATTAATCGCCTAGAGCCTCTAAATTCTCGAGGCCGGCCCTGCGTCAGCAAAATACGAAGACAGTAGATTGCGAAACATATATAATTTTCTATTGTACGTGGAAAAGATTTATAATCCCATAATCAACAACAGCTATAACCCTCTACATCAAAAGATGAGGTCCAGGGATGCTAATGGACAATAGGATCCCTGGGAAGCCCTTGGGGAGCATGGCCTTGGGGAAATCTATATAGAATGTAGCCCAAGGGAAGTACCTTACACTCAGGGAGCAAGGCAAGACCTCTGATTTCGTGGCAGCCATACTTGAAAGAATGGAATTCCTACTAGGAAGAGTGGAGGACTTGTGGTGTCATAATGCAAAGAGTAAGGCGTATTCAAAGGAGATGGTGCAAACTAATAGTAGGCACGCAAAAATAATGCCAAGAGCAATGCACACCACACTTATGCCAAGACAATCATATATACTACATATCTTGCTTCTTGTGAGGAGCAATATTTCTCATCCTTGAGCATGACTGAAACATAAACCTAGGTCATAGTTGTTTCCTCCAACAATCCCTTAAGTACATTTATTAGCCCTTACTAGCCTAAACTAGAAAGTCAGTTGTCATGACTCATAATTTTAGCACACATCAAGACTGTCCCAACCAAAGGCGCACGAAAATGAATTTCTATCTTGAAAGGGATTTCATGGAAGCATATCTGTCAATTGGATAGTAACTATACCCATCAATTTAGACAAGATACTATAAATAGTAGCTATATAAATGGTAAGAACTTATTTACTTTCCATATGTAAAGTGATGGCTGACTTTCAGCTTTGTAATTAGGCATATTGGTCCTATTTATACAGAGAAACCTTTAGAATGAGTAGGATCAAGTTACAATAGAAAACTAAGTACCTTTGTCATGGCATCAGAGCTAAGTCCCTGAATTAGAATCCAATTTCTGGTTAGTGACTATTTCTTAAACCAGAAAAGGGATTTTGTCTCAACGATTATGCCCTTATACACATTAAAATGGGGTGACGGAAAGAAATAATCGTCATTTCTTGGATGTTGTACGTACATTATCACTTGATTCATATGTTCCTTCAAAATTTTAGGTTGAAAAATTGTCTACTGCAGTTTATTTAATCAATAGATTGCCTTCTCAAGTTTTACACTTTGACTCTCCATATTATCATCTTCATCATCAACATCATGCTTATCATGATTTGCATACTTTTGGACGTATTTGCTTTGATCATTTGCCTCCTTATGAACGACACAAACTATTTGTTCAATCTCATAAGTGTACTTTTATGGGTTATAGTGTTTTACACAAATATTATGTTTGTTATGATCCATGCTCTAACAGATTTCATTTTTTTCGTCATGTTGTTTTCTTTGAGCACAAACCTTTCTTTTCCACTTATGATGAGCTTTTACCTGAAATTAGTATTCTTCCATGTTTTTATGATTTGGCATTTCATCCTGAACGATTCAAACCTAGACTCGTATATGAGAGACGTCAACCATTTAGGCCTCTTCCGAAGCTCGACCCCACATCTGAGCTTGTTCAACCTCTTCTTCCTTTGACTTGGCATTTGAGACAAATGTGCCTCCTAACATAAGTCCTTGACAATCTATCCGAGTTTCTCGACCTCCTGATAGGTATGGTTTTTTCATTCATTTGCCACTGCATTGACATCTATTCCCATGCCTCCTAGTTACTCTAAGGCTGCTAAACATAAATGTTGTCAAAAGGCTATGGATGAAGAATTTCGAGCACTTCAAGAGAATCGTACTTGGGACATTGTTCCATTGTTCCCTGCCCATCAAATATCAATGTCATAGGCTGTAAGTGGGTCTATTATATTAAGTTTCGTTTTGATGGATTTCTGGACTATAATGAAGCTCGCCTAGTTGCTCTTGGAAGTAGGCAGGAGTATGGGGGTGAATTATGATGAGACATTTGCTCTTGTAGTAAGATAACTACGGTACACACTGTTCTCTCTATTGCTACCTCTCAAGGGTGACCTTTTCACCAAATGGACATTAAAAACACTTTTCTTCATGGTGATCTTAAGGAGGATATTTTCATGGCACCACCTCCGGGCCTTATTTCCTGCCCTTCACAAGTATGCAAGTTGAAGCAGTCTCTTTATGGGTTAAAACAAGCCCCTCAAGTATGGTTTTGAGAAGTTCCGATCTATCTCACTACAACTTTCTTTTATACAGAGCCAATCTCACTCCTCTTTATTTCTTTGCAAAACATCTACTGGTATTGTTCTCTTGTATATGCAGATGATATTGTGCTCACTGGCACAAATTCTAAATTGATCACTTGACTCCAAAAATGTCAACAATTTTCTTTTCATATGAAAGACCTTGGTTCGCTTACATATTTTTTTGGGTATTCCACGGGCATATTCTTGAGCCAACATAACTATATTCAAGATTTGATCACTCCAACTGGTTTTCTTCTTTTGCCGATACTCCTCTGGAAGTCAATGTGACATATCGTCGTAAGGATGGTGATCTCCTTCCTGATCCCATATCTTTTGGCAACTAGTTGGCAGTCTCAACTGCTTGACCATCAATCGGCCTGATATATCATTTGTTGTCCAGCAGGCTAGTCAATTTATGCAAGTTCCACAACATCTCTATCTTAGAGTTGTTTGCCGCGTCTCCGAGGTATTTCTCGTAATAGATTTTTTTTTTTCCTGCGGGCTCTCCTATCCGTTTTGTTGCATTTAGTGATGCAGATTGAGCTGGATGTCCTGATACTCGCCGTTCTGTTATGGGGTTGGTGTATGTTTCTAGGTGATTCTCAGGTCTCTTGGAAAAGTAAAAAGCAGGCTCGTGTATCCAAATCATCTACTGAATCTAAATATTGTACCATGTCCGCTACTTGTTCTAAGATTGTTTGGCTTCGTGGATTGTTAGCTAAGCTTTGCTTCCCTCAGTTTGACCCTACCCCTATTCATGCGGACAACACGAGTGATATTCAGATTGCTGCTGATCCGGTATATCATGAGCGTAACATATCGAAGAGGATTGTCATTCCATTAGAGAGGCTGTTGACACTCATATTTTTTATCTTCTGTATATCTCTATTGACCTTCAGATTGCTGATGTATTCACTAAAGCAATTACTCATCAACGCCATCTCCTTTTTGTGAGCAAATTGATGCTTCTTGATTCCTCAGTATCAATCTGAGGGGGTGTCAATTGGATAGTAATTATAGCCATCAAATTAGATAAGATACTATACATTGTAGCTGTATAAATGGTAGGAACTTGTTTACTTTTCATATGTACACTGATGGCTGATTTTCAGCCTTGTAATTAGGCATATTGGTCCTATTTATACACAGAATGAGAAGGATCAAGTCACAACAGATAACTGAGTACCTTTGTCAATATCCACCCTCCCCTGCCCCACCCAAAAAATAGTAATAATAATCCACTTCCCCTCCACACGAATCCTAATTTCCACAATATTTAAGCTCTAATGGTTTCCCCAAGGCGTGCCTCTGGCAAACCCTACATGTTAGCAGAAAATAGTGAGGAGCTATAATTTTTCTCCCTCAAGCAATCAAGATTCACGCACATATATCAGATCATCAGCTGAAAGGTTGCTGCATCAGATAAAATGGTACTTGTACTTTTCTCGACTTTCATTATAACCAAATTCAAGTATAACTGGGTGGAAGTACCTTTGTATCGCTCAAAATAATAAAACATCCAATCTATTTGGTGCACAAATTACTACTAAAAATAAACTGAATTTGAGAGTTTGGAAATTGTAATGGGCCTGAAATTTCTCAAGGCACATCCAAATCACAATAAAAGAAGACAATCTTCAAAAAAATCGATTTCTTTGAAGTATCCTAATTCGTGTGTGTGTCTGTGTGTACACATACACACACAAAATTGGTTTCCAGATAAATTTCCTTTAAGAAACCTACTATAACAGGAAGAACTCACCTCTGCCAGGGATAAACACCAGCCCGCTCCCGGCACTGAAATTCACTCTCGGATTATAACTCCTCACCAAATCAGAACTCAGATTATTTGCCGCCGCCACCGATATTAAGTTCTCCCCAGGCCTCAAAGGGTAGGTAACAAACAACCCATAATCCCTGGACACCTCCTCATCCCCACAAGAACAATTCACCGTGACATTCAACGTTGCGGTATCTGGAATAAAATTCGGCGAGTAACTATTAAACTGCGCCAGCGATTGTCCGGTAGTCAAATTCGAATAGTAAGTTCCCGCAACTCTATCATAAGTGTCCCCCGTATTCACATCGTAACTAAAGACATGGCCCAGAAACTCGTTCCGTATACAGTCACAAGAAAAGGGGATGTTTATTCGTGTATCGGCTAAAACTGTATCTTGATTGGGGATTTGTGGGTTGTAAGTGAGGATATTTTGGATTGAATTTTGTGTGATTTGGGAAATGAAAGTGAGATTCGAACCTTGCCACACGTAGTAGGAGCCTAACGCCAAGTCGCAGGTACTACTGCACCTTGAATAAGCAGGTGAAAAAAGTGAGATTATTATTCCGATTAAAAATAAGAAAAAACCCAAGATCGATTCCTGTTTGGAGATAAATATGAGGATCATCATGTTGCAGGAATCATTTGACAAATGGTAACTGGTGAAGAAAGGATGAAACTGGTTTGTTTATGAATAAATGATGCTTTGGTACCGTTGACTATTCTGTTGAATCTTTGAATAACTTTCCTTTGGATTACACAGACAACCTTTGAATGGATTTTTCTAGATGTACAAGGAGGACGTTGTCAACTGCAAACCCGGTAGCGCTTTCCTTTTTGAATAACTTTTCTTTCGATTTTACACAGACATGCATTTTTAGAACTCCGTCAACATGATTTACTTTTTTTTATTTTATTTTAATTTTAAAGAGACAACTTTTAAAATTATATTTTAAAAAATTCTTTAAATTAATATTTTAATTTAAAAAGTGAATTTGACTTTTTAAATTTGGAGAGTCAAACTCACTCTATGCAATTAAATGCATTCGGAGTATTTCAATTTTCAATATAGGAAAATAATAAAATAATTTAGTAAAAATTGGTTAAAATAAAATATGGGTAAAAATAATAAATATTTTTTGGGAATAATAAAATTAAGTGCTAAATATAAAATGTTTGATGGAGTATTTCAAAAATTTTAACTCTGAAAATTCACAAATACTCTCCAAATGATAGAATATGCCATTTAAAAATAGGAAGTTTATTGAAAAAGCTATATGCCACTACAGTTTCTTTTCAATTCCAATACTTGAACCCTCACAATTTTAAAGTACAAATTCTTTATATCGATCCATTTCCTCTACCAATACGAATTCCAATTAGATTCGAACATACTACAATTTTTAATTATTTGAAGAAGCCAAGTTGTTCTCTCTTTCGAATTCAAAAAATGTCATTCTATTAATAAAAAGAAAGTGAAATTCAGAATCGCAAAACATAGTTATGTTAAAAATGGAATGACAAATCTGTCTCTCATGCAATTGATTTCATGCTTAATTGAAATTTGATTTCAAACTTGAATTTGAAAAATGGGCAAAGAGATGAAATTGAAATCATTAGAAAGTTTTATTGCTTGATTTGGGACAAAATAAACCTTGAGGACTAGCTTGGAATTGCACTGTAACTTTAAGGACCAAGTGCTAGTCCCTAGTGAACTCATGAATGTGAGAGTTGGAATCCCTCGGATGACACAAAAGTATGAATATTTATAGACCAATGAAACGCAAATGATACACCTTGAATGCTTGATATGTGATGTCGTCCCAATGACTCATTTGACAAGCTTAAAGATGTTACATAGTTGCCGTCATGGGCTCGAGACCTCTCACATCCTGCTCCTAGGCATATCAGTAGAGATGTGACTAAGAATAATACTGGTAGAGATATTACATTAATCAAATTGTATTGTTGTCAAGATCTCACAAATTGCAACTTACTTACAAAATACAAGGTCAAACCTCAACCGCCTCAGATTCAAGAGGCCTACTTAGAGTGGCCAAGGATTGGGTCTCTCTTAAGTCTCCTTGGCCGACTAAGTGAAATGGCCGAGATTTGTGTCGCCTCGAAGGATGGAGGAATAAAATGAAAATGTGTTGGACTACTTTACAAACACTTCGGAATAGAGAGTAAGTGAGCTGACAAAACTTGTCCTCATCATCTCAGGGAAGAAAGAATAAGTGAGCCATCAAGACTTGTCCTATTGAATGTTTGATACGTGATTTCATCCCAATGACTCATTTGACTAGCTTAAAGATGTCAAATAGTCGCCATCATGGGCTCATGACCTCTCACATCCTGTTCTATTAGTAGAGATGTAATTATGATTAACATTTGTAGAGATGTTATATCAATCAAATCATATTGTTGTCAAGATGTTACAAATTGTCAAGAGTAACATTTTCGACGATCTCCGCCTCTTTAGATTCATGAAGAACTAACGCATCGCTAGATCATTCTCTCCATCGACTATGTCGAATGTAAGAAGGTAAATTTGGATGTTAACATCTTGATATGTTGTAATAATCAACTTAACTTCGTATCTAGCCTTTAGGGTTGTACCGTCGACTAAAATTAGGGGTCGCATCGCGTTTTGAAATTCTCGAATGCATTGTTCAAGGGCCATGAAAAAATACTTGAAGCAATTCTCGCCTTTCGTCTTAGTAAAAATGCCGATCCAGGATTAGCTTTCCCCATGTTATAGCAGTACCAGACCAATTTAGCATAACTTTCATCAACTGAACCCTTTAAGTCCTCCAGGCCTTCCGATAGCTCAAGATCACCCCATACTCTTGATTAACGTCATTAAAGATGTCCAAAGATCTATAGATCATTCGTGGATCCTGAAATTTGTACATTATTTGTTGATCAATTAATTATACTTTAGCTTGCCTGTGATCATTTTGACGGATACTAACTTCGGAAGTATGTTCCCGTGCATATGTACGAATTACAAAGAACCCATTCGTATTCATCTTTGTCGCCACAAATGTCAATGGCAAATGTCATCAATGTAGATGATTGTGCATATCGACTTGTTTGATTTCTTTATTTTAAACTCAAAATTGTGTTTCAAAACAATTCGGTGCATAGCTTCCCAAATCATTCTTTGTTTCAAACAATTTCTCAACATACAAATCATCATCATCAAGAACTACACGCGAACAATTAGAGGATCGTGTACTAGTTCCAGCTTGTGAGCTCCCACCCGACTCATGTCTCTGACGGAATAAGGCAATCAAATTCTCGTTTGTAAATTCATTTCCATTCCATTCTCGTCTTGAAATATAGATGGAATTATGTGCGCAATGGTAAAATCATGGTGAGGAACAACTGTTTCAAAAATAGTGACATCATCCTTAGGAATTATCTTCATCGTGTCCCAAAAATCATTCACATTACGAACCCCTCTATTGGATTCTTTTTAACTAAAGTTACGCAAAGAGAAACCGAGCAATTTTAATTCAATTCAATTAAAACCTTCATTTTAGCTTCAGAAATAACCATTACATATGGAATTGAAATGGATGTACGCACGTTTAATAGAAGTCCTAATTCCATGTCATATTAAGAGGGATCAAAATTGAGCTTATTCTGTAAATCGTGGTACATTGCTGCATATGATGTATTTGATCTTATCACAATTGCAGTAGCACCGCGTCTTTCACTTGTCCATTTCCACATACATCAATCATTTATATTCATTTCAAATTCACCAAACTAATAAATCAGGCTACAGCTGATCCCATATCTGAATTGGGAAACATAATTTGTTAAAAAATAGCAAATAAAAAGTTGGAAGAAAAGCTAACTGGGCAGGTTAGATCCATTCGGCCCAGCCGACTAGAAAACGAACACCCAATCACCCAGGCCGTAGGTTTTTCAGTCGACCAAGACGGCAGGCCTGCTATTCCTAGTTGATTGTTAGTTTATGCAAATGAATGCCTTTTTTACTTTTGCTTAATAAATTGTAGATCTATTTAAGATTGTAAAAATTCATCTGCCTATGTAAACATAAGATTTAACGATTAAAATAATTTACTTATTCAACGAAAACAAAATTAAATATATGTAAATATAATTACTGATTCCAAGTGATGGCTAGAAATAATATTCTTTTTGTTGAGTATTTGATAAATTTATGAGATTTTAAGAAATAATTTTTTCTGTATTGGAATAAACTAATAACGAAATAATTCTTTGTAACTTAAAATGATATTGTTGCCTTTTAAAACAATACTATATTTTTGTAATTGTATAATATACATAAGGGTAATTTTGTCTTTTATGCATGAAAATGCTTTTGTGGTTAATGATAAAAAAAAAAAAAAAATTGATCAAAGTGAAAAATATTAATGTTAACATGGCCATTTTAAAAAGTATCCCTACATTTGCTTAGGAGTCTAGGACTGTGAGACAATGCTAACGGAGCGAAGGTACTTGCATGACATTTGTTTAGCTTGCAACTCCGAGGTGAGCAACATAGACACTTTCGAACAACAAAATAATCGAATCTTCAAAATTCCATTGCTTCTAATTATCGTAAGACTCGTAACTAAAAACTCAAAATCTTAAAATAAAACATAATAATAAAAAAATATCAGCAAGAACTCACCTCTGGCAGGGTTATAAACCACCCCACTCCCATCACCGAAATTCACTCCAGGATTATACCTCCTTACCAAATCAGAACTCAGATTATTCTGATTCCAAGTTCTCCCCAGGCCTCAAAGGAAACGTAACAAACAAACCATAATCCTCGGACACATCCTTATCCCCACAAGAACAATTCATCGGCACACTCAACGTCGCGCCCATATCGGGAATATTATAATCGGGGTAAGAATTAAACTGCCGCAGAAGCTGAGTGGTAGTCAAATTTGTTGGAAAGTGGGACCCGGTTGTTCAATTTGGAAGATGAAAGTTGATTTGTGTTATCCTCCGTGAGTACATCGAAATCATATACTTACTTGACAAAGATAATGTTCGGGTGAATGAGAAATTGAGGCTCAAAGTGTGCCACTCAAAAGGGAGTTTATGTAGGAAAAATGAATTTGTCCCACATAGGAAAAAGATGAGAAACTCCAAAGGTCATTGCCATTAATGGTAGCCTAACCTATAAATAGTGGCTCGTTTACCTCATTTCAATACACAAAAACAAAAGCTTTCAAGTTTAGAATACACAAGAAATTCATTTGCATAGAGTTCTGTTTTTTCTGCATTTCTGTCTTGGTGGTGGTGTAGTTCATGCACTAGTTCAGTTCACCAGAGTGGTTTTTGCGGTGCTCGGAAGCTACTAGTTTTACCGTTGTATCCTGAGAAACGGACGCTCGTTTTAAACCTCAAGCACGGACAGTGAGGGGGCGAATCTGTTTTAAGGAAACTATGTGTAACACATGCCTCGGTTTGAAATTTCATTTTCTGCAATTTCAATTATTCGTTCTGTTATTTATTGCAGTAAATTCAATAGTTGATTTATTGTTCATTCTGTTATTATTCAATTAGTTGTACGACTGTAATTTGCTGTTATATATCATCTTACCGGATAAAAAATATATACGGTATTGAAATCGAGAATGCCCGATTCCTCATTTTTCATAAACCGACGAATTGGTGAAACTTGGGATTTTCCCTACAAAATTCGTATAGTATCTTCCCGAAACTATATCATAAGTATCCCTAGGAATCACATCATAAAAGAAGACATGGCCCAGAAACTCGTTCCTTATACATTTACACGAGAAGGGGATGTTTATTCGTCTATCGGCTATAAGGG